ATTCAAGTACCACTCTGCTCGGGCTGGTGCTGTGGCTGAAAGAAGGAGCATGTGAACCTTGCGGTTGGGCCCAGGCGCCACTCTCTCCGTTTCCTGCCGGTACACGGTGGCCAAGGCAGCCAGCGCCTTGATCCAGTCAAGACGACAGTAGAACGGAACCTGAGGATTCAAATCAGCCAGCAGCTTCTGCGCGTCGCTGAGCCTCATGCTCCTGTCTTCCAGCTGCTGACGTGCCCGCTTCTCCTCCCAGTTCAAGGCTGGAGGCGACCCTCCGTGGTACACAGGCCCCCAGCGACCCGCCATAGCTTCTGCATCATGAGCTGTGAGCTTGCGAAGGATCAGCCGAAGTTGTCTCGAACTTGCTGTTCGTTTGCGCGCGGAGGCATACTCACATGTCATAGCCAGGTGAACTGGATCCAGTGCCAACACCTGGAGGCTGGGGCAAATGGTGCGTAGCTCCTTCCAGTACTTTTGCGACGGATTGTCCACCAGAACATAAGAAGTCTGGGCCAGTCCCCGTGCCGGCAAGTGATCGGCGAGAGCCCTCACACACGCTTCCGAATCGTCAGAGCTCAGGGCCTCCATCAGCAGCACTGCACTGCTCCGCCCTCTCACCGTCAGCACACGGGTCAAAGCGTCGTCTCCACGGAAAACAGCAGCATCTCTCTCCACCTTGGCGGCGCGGGGACGTGCCTGCCCTAGGATCGAGAGGCAGCACCGCATGGTCGCATCAATAGACAGCACTTCGAACTCCTTGTGATCCAGGAGCTCTGCTGTCAGATCCTGCCCGATTTGGGTAATCTTGGGCGACATAAAGATGTCTTCCAGCAGAGGCCACCAGTGCCTAGCGTGTCGCGGCAACAGGCTGCACGTCTGCCCCGGTAACATGGCAGCCAAAGCCGCGTGTGTAGCGTATGATTTGGCCTTGCTCATCAGGGCCTGGCGCAGCAAGAGCTCAGCAAAGTCTTTGTCGATGTAGACATTGCGGACACGTCTCAGAGGTGCTGCGGCTACCGTCTGGGCATTCCAGTAGCAGGGCCCGTCACCTGTAAGCACCAGCCTGATGTAACGATCAACGTCGTTCGTCGTCCGCGGCAGAGCTGGTACCACAGTCTGGCGCAGAAGTGCTGCGCTCCTGCTGAGGTAGCGAAGCTTTGGATCAGCGCAGCATTGATCTTCGTCATGCAGCGCCAGCACGAGCTTGAGTTGCTTCGTT